CATAGGTCAGATGCCGAGTCATCATTTGTTTCCTTTTCTTTCATCAAGCGTTTAACTCCTTATTTTGAACAAAAGCTAGAAGCTGAAATCCATGAGCTAGAGTTTCATGCTTATCGGTCAACTGTGCAGGCATTATATGCCTCAGGTCCCTTAAGTTGGGAGCAAGAGTCACTTCTAACAAATCTTCGCCTATCCCTTCACATTTCAGACGAGGAACATCTGCTCCATCTGAGGCAACTATTGTCCACTCAGGTCCTGTAATCATCTTCTTTTCTTCACCACCTTTTTCTTTGTAGGTCTACACAACGATAACTCTGGAATTGGTTCCAGCTGATTTCAAACTACTTCATGGTTGGTGGCCTCGTTTCAACTTCTGATTGTACATCACTGTTACCGTGTAAATTGTTTTGAAGTATTCTGGTTTTTGTTTTGAAATATTCTAGTTTCTGTTCCTCATGCTTGATATGATAGAAATCCTTGTCTTGCACGTGCTCTCGGAATTCAGCACCTCACCAGGTAAGGTTACACGTATGAGTAGAATGTTTTGGTCTGTCTTGTTAAAACTAAGTTGGCTTGCATGGCACTCGTGAAGATCCATCGCCAATCATGCCTGCTCATTTCTATCAGGTGGTAGACTGCATATACCGGACTGTGGTTCTATCACAGGAAAGGGCTCATATGATATTATAGGATGGATATGGAGGCGTTTGCCTAAATTAGCGACCTGCTATGGAAATTATAGTGTTTTTCGGCTGCTTCTTGAAGCCCTGAGAAGTTGAAATCGATCCATTTGAAATCAAACAGCAAGTTAGTTTCTGCAACATTGATCCATCCTACATCTAGTTTCTGGAAGTCTGGTGCAAACCATTCCAACATGGCAGTCTCTTTGTAAGTGTCATAATATCCATTACATCTGGCTGTTCACGGTGCGTGCGCATATGTCGGATATTTTGGTCTTCTAAAATCTGGCGTCGCAACTGCTGCTTCAAGACAACAACGACCGCTATTTCTGGCTCCGGGTGTCAAGAACCCACGCAACCCCTTAAGTCAACCCCGCTCCAAGGGAATAATATTGGCAGCTTTGTTTATGAAAACGGGGGGGATTTCTCGTATGGAGGTCCTTTTATATATATATATATATATATATGCATGCATATGCAGTATTAAGTTGCATCGACGTTCCTTGCAAAATATAATAGGGTGAAAATGCAAAGGGCGGTTTATAATAAGATTAGGAGCGCCTCTGAAATTCATCAAAAGCTCAGAACCACCACCATGTTATGACTTCTTGAGCTTTCCCGTGTTGACTGATCATGTTTCCCGAAAGTGTTGATTTTGTAAAAACGAGTAAGGATAGTGCCCTTTTCTCATTAGCACATTGTTTCAAGCTAACGGTTATATAGCGCGTAAACTGCTTTCTGGAATGTAAAAAATCCCCCTGATGATTCTCAACAGCTATCAGGAATCTGTCAAAGAAAACAAAATAGCGACTGGTGTTAACATGCTCAACTTGCTAGATGGGAGGATACGTCCTTGAGAGAGTGAGAATCTCTTAGATGTCATTGATTTATAATTTTATGAAGAGGAAATGGCTGTAATATCAGTTGTCAAAACCCAAAATTTCTCTATTGCGGTGGGAAAATTCATTGACCATTCGCTAAAATAATAATTGTGCTGTCATATTTTCACAAATCTGTTAGATAACAGTCTTGAAGTTTCCAACAACAAATGTTACAAATCAGAGTATCCTGCACACGCAATCTTGTGATTTCTGAGGCCCCTCAAACCATCGATCCCACAATGGGTTTGCAGGGCCATTTGTTCTGTAATGGAAGAAACCAATGAATGAGCATCATAAGTCATAAGAGGAAAACAAGAGGGCATATTGAGGGTGTTAGTGAAGTTACAGTGAGAGAAGTGGATCGGGTGTGTTCTCCACATTGCGCAGCAACCTGAAGAACAACAATTAAAACATATTCAATCCTAAGAAAATTCTTAACAGCTTGGAGAAGAGATTGAGGAACTCTTGAGCAAATCCCATAGTTTTGAAAAAAAATAAATCATTTGTTATACTTACTCTTCACACACAGTTGATACATTATCTGTCTTTTCGAGCTCCTCCAACTCTTCCTAAAAATGTGGATGAAACATTCAAAATAAGATGAATCCAGAATACACTCTGCCTCCAACTGAGTCCATAACAATGATGCATAATTAAATGAACATGAAGAAATGGAGATGATAATGCCCCCACATTGATCTGCACAGCATGGCTGAGAAAAACATTTTGAGTGAGGAGCAAGCCTCGAAGACTCCTACCATTAACCTCCACACCAACAGGGTGGTTGCATTTCAAAACCCTATTGAAGATGCCAGGTTAAAGCAGTTGTTTTTTATTCAAGAAATACAGTCAGGAGTAAATGCATAATAAACCTGTAGCTAGATGGTGATTTTCACAGACATGTTGATGTTTTACTCGCTTTTTCTAAATTCTCCAGAGTCACAATGTCAATGGGGTACTGTGCTTAATCATAAGCGAACAGTCCAAAGTAGCCACAAGTATACAACTAGAAATGCTCCATCCCAATGCTATAAGCAACAAAAGGACTAAACTCTTCCTAACATCTGAGCCAAAGCTCACCTGCTATGATGCTTTGTGTGGTATACAAATATTTCCCAAGCATAAAAAAACAGCTCTTGAAACAAAATGTTAGCCATGAAACTTAAAAGTCACTCCGTTGACTAGAATCATCGAAAGAGATTGAAGATCTTCAACCATAGCTTTCAAAAACAAAATTCAATGAGCACGGCCAAGTAATATGGCTTGGATAACAACAGTGTAGTCAAACAGTCCAACTTTCTATAGCTAAATAAAAACAACAGAATTCATGTTAAGATATAAGTCATCAAAACTAGACACTAAAGATGAGAAGTATAAATTATGTGCTGCATTCTTCAAATTTTCCCCCAAACCATTCCTACTTGATAAATCCCAGAACTTTGCGCATGACTTTTAGTCCACTCAGGAAAATTGCATCATGTTAGGCTCTGCCAATTTAGATAGCATAATTGCCTTCCCCATTTACATTGACAATGAACTCAATTTCCAACCAGAAAGGATCATTTTTCCTATACAATCATCTAGCTCCCACCAAGTTCCCAGTGATCTCTACTTCGGTCTTTCCATACAATTCAATCAAAGCATAAACCTTCTATGCCGATGCCCAGTCTAAACCCAGTCAGCGGGATTAAGCATAAACCTATGCCAATGTCCAGACATGCCAAAAAAGAAAAGCTTTCCTGTGATCTAGACAAAATAAGCTAAGGTCTTAACGACATCATGGGAGAAAACTACTTTCCCATAAAACCAAACCTAAACGGCACATCTCATACGCTAATAATGTAGGCTGTCTATAGCATTTAAAATATCCAACACAAAAACAAAAGTTCAAACTGACCTCCAAAAACTTCATTTCTTGCTCTACGCGCTTTAGTTCAGCAAGAATCCGATGTTTTCCTCTCGTATCAGCTACCGCCGACGCACCTCCTCCTCCTCCTCCTCCTCCACCACCACCGCTAACTTGTTCATCAACCGACGACGCCGTTTCAGACTCCATTCCTTTCCGGCCACGATTGAGTTCCTACTCCTCCATCACCACTTCTTGTTTTTTTAACATAAAAATATCTCACTTCACTGCATTAAATTGAAAACAAGAATCGGTACATACAGCCCTACGGATGGATCTACAACCAAACAAACTACTAAGAAAGAATGCCCGTACAACTCTTGGAATTTTTGGGGGGTTTTTATTACTGCGTCCTCCTCCTCGAGGCTCCAGTGGCTCCTGTCTCTTATTATTTTATTTAAGAGGCAGAAAATACAGCGACTTTCTTTTCTTCTTCCCTTTGAACAAAGCTGCTTTGCTTTTTCTAACAAAAATTAAATAGTAAGAGATTTCTACTATCCCACGAGTCTGCCGACTAGTCTACTTTCTTCTTCTCCTTGTTTTTTTTCTTTTTAATGAACCAGACAACTCATCTACTTCCACTGCCATTGCTTTTTTTTTATACCTTTTATAAATTAATGGTTATTCAAATGGAAATTTTAAATTCCTTAAAGATCCATATTTTTCTAACCTTTTTCTTTAATAATATAAAATTCAATGTGTGATTTACTTTTCTAATATTTTAATTTATATTTCATTAAAATTATATTCATTCGTCATTCCATACTTGCACACACCAACATGTTCGCTGTCCTATATGAGTTCACACCCAGCAAATAAGGAGCCCAACTTAAACATGTTTCTTCTTGTTCATTGATGCCATTGTCAATTCTTCTTGCAAATTTACTTTGAAAACTTCAACTCTTCGCAGGTTGTATAAATAAGCAACTAAAAAACAAAGAAGACCTGTGAGATTTCCATGTCAGGTGCCCAGCTAAGAATTGTTTCGGCATTTTGTTTTTGTTTTTTTATAAAATATAGAATACTTTACAGGGCATCCACTCGTTGGTGGCGGCCACCACCATCAACATTCCGTATTTATCTTGGCAAAGTTGCTTTTCTTGATAGGCACTCCCCCACACATTTAGGCTGTCTTTTTTGTTTGCGTCTGTATGTTGGCACATGCCATTTTTTAATCCATGAAGCCTCAAAATCATTAAATTATCTATAAGAGGTATTTAAATACATATTTGGTATTATAATGTAAAGTATTTTTTATTTGAAAATAAATTAAAATAATTTTATTTTTAATATTATTGTATTAAAATCACAAAAAAAATCACAAAATAATATTAATTTAATATTTTTTTAAGATAAATATATTTTTAAAAACACTAAAAACTAAAAATTAGCAGAACATTAATTTATCATACTATTCATGAAACTTGAATCCAATTATCCATGGCAACGAGGAAGAAGGAAAATGAATACAGGCGACACAGCCCACTCCAAATGTTGCTTCCATTCACGCTATTTTACAGCCTTAATTGTTTAGACTTAAACAGAATATGTCAATTAAACTTGCAAATTAAAGCAACATTAAATGCAGAAATGCCACGCAATTAGCACAAGCAATCACTAGAAATCCCATGTCATTGTGCATGCAGGTCGTGTTTATTATTTTACAACGTCACCCCAGATTAAAAATCAAACGAAGGAGAAAGAAATGTAAGAACACACAACGATATGAAGAAAAAAGAGGAAACATTTTCAAATAAGCACGACCAAATCATCAAGCCATCTCAACCTCTTTTGAAACAACTTGAGGGAACTCTTCAACGCCATGAAGTGAGTTGTGCTTGGACTCGTACTTTTCCCCATCACCCCACAATGCATAGGCTTCTTCTCCGTGAATAGCATCATCACCAGTTTGCAATTCCTCATCAGTCAATCTTAATGGAACTACCAACCGAATCAACAAGCATATCGCACTAGTGACCAAAACGTTAAGAACAACAACAAAAACAATTCCTAGCAACTGAACGCCCATTTGCTTGAGTCCTGCAGCGGTCCTGCCATTTTGTAGGCCATAGGCAAGTCCTATGTAATGCTGCCAGTCATCTACCATGTAAAAGATGCGGTTGAGCTTCGGATTAGCAAAAAAGCCTGCGAGGATGCCTCCTAAGCTCCCTGCAACAGCATGGGTGTGGAAAACTGCCATGGTGTCATCAACTTGTTTGAGAAACCATATTTTCTTGTGCAGGACCATCATGCTGTACCATGGAATGCTTCCGGACAATATCCCCATCAGGATGGCAGCCCAACCTTGCACAACTCCTGTTCAATGGTAATTTTCTTACTTCAATAAATTTGGCCAACGGCAAGCTAGGTTGACTAATCTTATGTAATTTTACGGAGGATATTTTATATATATGCTAAGAGTCCGACTCACCATCAGCCATCACATCGCTGTGTCTATGGACTAGTGATGAGTCCAAAATTTCTTCCTATTTAAGGATGTAGATGCTTTGCATTTGCGGTCCTTACAAAATTTGAATTCAAGGGATGTAATCACCTAACATACTAATGCTATAATTAAGCTATACTGCAAAAGTTGATGTTCACAATGTTTCTTTAGTCTCTTAAGAAATTTAATTGGTTTGATCCGATATTGCCAAAAGATAAAGGCCTTGAAAAGATTAAAATTAATTTGCAGAGGGTAATGGCCAAAAGGGCAAAACAAGTGTATCGTTATATATATGGGCGTGATATTACCGGCAGCAGGGGTGATACAAACGAGACCAGTGATCATGCCCTGTGTGGCTCCAATCACAGAGGGCTTTCCAAAGAAAACAATGTCAAGAAGGAGCCAGGTCAACAAGCTGGTAGCAGTGCACACATGGGTGTTAAGAATGGCCAGAGATGCATCTGTACTGGCAGCGAAAGGACCACCGCCATTGAAACCACTCCACCCCATCCAAAGCAGCCCAGCCCCTGCCAGCATCAGTAGAATGTTGTTTGGTGGGAACCTTTCCCTGTCCTTGTTTGTCCTTGGTCCCACCTGTTCCATATAAACCGTTAGCATTATATAAAGGTAGATTTTCCACTTTAATCCATCATCTTCGCAGGCTTTTGAGCCTTTTTTTTTTTTGATATTATATGGATACTAGCTAGTAACACTACAAGTTTCTAACATATGTCCCGTTTTAACTGAGCCATGTGTGCTAGTTAACAGTTAGTTACCCAATATGCTGCGGTAAAACCAGCAACGCCAGAGGAAAGGTGAATGACATATCCTCCAGCGTAATCAATGATCCCTCGCTTAGCTAACCAACCATCTGGATACCAAAGACTATAAGCAGTGAAAGTGTAAGAGAAGGTAAGCCAAAGTGGTACAAACAGCATCCACGCATGAAAATTCATCCTTCCAAGCAACGCCCCAGCCACCAGAATCAACGTGATCGCTGCAAACACAAACTGGAAATAGACCAGGGTCGCACTAGGCAAGAACCCAACATAGGCTCTGTCCAAAAGAAACTTTTGGTCCAAGGAAATATCGGGCCTGCCAAGGAAAGGAAGCATTTTCTTTCCGAATGACATGTGGTAGCCCCAGCCCACCCAGCACACGAGCACAGCCGCGAAGGCGTATAAGGCCATAAATGCGGAGTTAACAGCCCACTTCTTTTTCACGATACTGCCATAAAGGATCACAAGGCCCGGCACACTTTGGAGACCCACAAGAGTTGCTGCCGTGAGTTGCCACGCGTTGTCTCCTTTGTTCATCCACCCCGGGCTTGCCTCATCGGGCAATAGGTTTGCTGGAATTTCTGCCATTTGGACTGAGCTTTGTCTTGGGCTACGGTTTTTTTCCCTCCGATATACAGGAGTGGTGTTGAATCTTGAAGCAGACAGGGTGCGATGATTTTTAATTTGGAGGGTATTTGCGCCTATATATAGGTGAAAGTAGTGGGCGAATCTGCTCCTGTGCTTTCTCTAAGGTGCCTGGACTCTGCCCCCGTAATCGGCTTTTGTTAAGTTACTTATTAGCCCTAGCATCGATATTTTTGTAAACTGAAATTTGTCATATTGAGGGTTAAACAAGTAATGTCATTGTCTAACAAGAAAAAGAAGAAGAAGCTCAAGTACTGTGTCTTTCTTCGGTAAGCGGAGAATCCTACGAGTTTGGAATCTCGGCAATGAAATGCTCGCCGGAAGTTGGCTGTTATAAAGATACTACCTAAGGAATGAAAGATACGTTAACAAATGATGGGGTATTTTCTTTGTTTTTTCCTTTGTTATAGAAGCTACAGCTTTTGGCCTGATTATATTAACATATATGGGTACAGCTTATTGATCTAAACGCAATCATCAATGTTTTGGGGAATATTAAGCGACATGGGAATGATTTTGTCAGGTAATACGTTGATCGCATTCGTGTCAAGCAGTAAAATCCGTTGAAACGGAAAACTCATAGACAGCAAAGAGTTGTGAAATCCATCAGAATCTCGTACCGGAGGAGCAAGCAGAAAAAATATTATCTTTTGTGCTAGCAATCAGTACATTGTGCTTGAATATAAATTACAACCGATCACCTGCATCAAACTGATAATTAAAGTCGATGGCCGTGAAAAGGGCTGTAATTAATGACTTTGTAGCACCGAATAGATGTCGAAATTCTCTCATTACTTGAGTCGTAGGATTATCTGCGGATTCTACACTGCATGGATTCCGACTTCCATCCACTCTGTATTATTTTGTTTTTCCTCTACATTCAACGTGTTAGTTTTAGTACCACTACAATGTAAAGATTTTAATGGCTATTTTATAAAAAAGAAAAAAAATAAAAGATTTTTGTCAATGAAGGTTCTATGGCCAACTGGCTTCGACTTTTTCCAATTAACTTTTGTGTTTCAATTTCCAGTGCCAGCAAGAAGAAAGATTCCTCGTGTATCTGCCATTAATTCTAACGGAAGCCTGGAAAATTACTGTGATAAACTTAAATTTAATGAGATAAAAAAAACATGGGAATGCCTAGTATCCCATGTGGCTTGAGCTACCATTATCAAACCCAATGTGTTTTAATTTAGGTAGGATGTTGCATAAGCCGAACACTTCCTTGTAATTTTTTTAGGATCTTACACGAATTTTTTAATATTTTATATTAGTTTAATATATATTATTTTAAATAAAATATAATTCAAAATATTATAAATGTAAAGTTGTACTTTAGCTACTCATTTCTATAAAAAGATAACACTTATAAATTATAAATAAGATTTATAATCTCATATATATTTTTAGAGCTTTTTTATTTAAAATATCATCGTATTTTCTCTCTCTGTAAAGTTACTTACTTAAACACTCAAGAGTCTCTATATTTATTAAGATGAATCTTTTGCATGTATTAACTATTAATCATTTGAGAGTTTCATATCAAGCCACCAAATACTTTGGCTAAATAAAATAAATCAAATTGCTTGAACTAAGAGATTAACTTATTATCTAATATATAAGTTTTATTCTAAGCATTTTGTATTTTAATACTTTTATCAAATTGGATCTTAGCTCGTGAATTTAGAATGGCGAGTGATTCATTTAACATTTAGTTAACAAAGAAACAAAAAAAGATAACTTTCATTTACGATGAAAATTGTAACATAGGTCAAGTTTTATACTCTTCATATCTGAACAGTATAAAATCACTATTTAAATCCCACTCAAACTCGATTGGATATAGGTTTTTTATACCTAAACTCAATCCGATCAAATTTTGGATATCCATTGAGTATCTATAATTCAAATTCAAACCTAAACCTAAACCTAAATAGTGGTTAATAAAACACATTATTTATGATCTTTCAACTTTTTTTTATTGTTATATATTAAAAATGAAAAATATATATTGAGCCTAGATCCATGTAATATATTTATTGACTTAAATCAAATTAGTATAATTACTATGTAGTACAAAGATAAGCTCACTAAGCATTTTATATCTCTATATTTGTACTAGTACTTGTAAAAGGACTTGTAAACATGTAAAAATAATACATCAACATGAATATAGCTAAACATATTCATTGGTTATATAACTTTGGATATATATATATATATATGCTTCCAGCTCTAAAATAATTAGTTCATTTATAGATGATGATTCATGATTTTCTAATAAAAAATCCATTTAAGACATTCTTTTATGTGAAAAAAATTAAGTTGCTTTGGATTAGACAATGCATACTCACCACCCAACATCAAAACTGGAGATGATATGCTTTGTTTATATTTTGGCTTTTGTTACATGCATATCAAACCCACATGAATGCATCTTAACACTTTAAATACAAAATAAAATGGATTTTTAAGGTCTTAAAATGACTAAGAATAAGATTGATTGGAGCTTTATTATTAATTTTAAAACTTTAAATTTCAATCATGCTTATAAAATTGGCACCATATATAATATCAAAAAACACAAATTAAAGATATAAGAATAGAGAAAGAAGCACACTAATTTTTATAGTGATTTAGATAATCACCTACTCAACTTATTGAACTTTTATTCAATTATTTACTATTAACTCATTGTCTTTTTAGTGGGTGATATTTTACTGTTTACATTAATTTTTTTTTCAGGATCAAGATTAGAAAACGTTACACAATGTTTTTCAATGATTAAAATTTAAACTTTTCACAATCCTTTTTAAATGTTAAGATTAAGTCTTTTACTGAATGACTCATAACTTAAGATTAATTATCCAAGTGGTTCAAGTATCACTTTGCTTTCACAATAATTATAACTTTTACAAGAGTTATTACATTGCATGAGATAACGTGTAAGAGGACTAAGCTCAAGTTTTTATATAATTATAATCCAAATAAAGAATGTGAATGAAATATGAAATAAAAGCTTTTTAAAGGATCAAAGCATTAAGAGTATGAATTGTAGAATTATAAGAGTGTAAGAGAGTTTTCTCATAAAATCAAATAGGTATTTATAAGAGGAAAACTTATTTAGTAGTTACTTTCATGACAGAAATAAGAATAATAGATTTTGGTTTTTCAAATGTTATTTTTCTTTGTGAGAAATAGTTAAGAGCCTTTTATTTTAGAAGAGACAAAGAATTGCTATAAAAAAACTAGAATGGTAGACAAACTCACTTCCAAAATCACAAGTTTTCCATCTAAGCTAATAATAGTCAAATTTTAGTTAAAAATGGATAAGAAGCTTTGCTTTTTATAAAAATAAATGAAGTGATTGTATCAGAATATATGATTAACATGGTTTTTCATAATGTATTTATAACTATACAAGTCTTAGTAATAAAAATAACTTGGATGATGAATTTTGGCAATATAAAAATAATTTTGGATGAAATTTTGTAAAACCCGACACACACTAGCGCGGGCGCGCGCGCGCAAGAGGGGAAAAAATGATTTCAAGAATTGAGTAAATTGATTGATATGACTTGTATAAGTATGAAATATAAAAATCTGAATTTTTAACAAAAAATTACAAACCAACTAATTTTATGTTCTAGTACATAACTTTAAATCTGGTCGTTATATGAAGTTTAGATTTTGCATGGAGTCTTATAAAATATTATTTTAATCTCGGTTAAAGTTTTAGAATTTTTGGAGTATAATAATAATTTGTTTCAGATAAAAAAACAAATAGCACAAATAAGTATCTAGAAATTATTTAAGGGCCAAATTAAAACTTTACCCAAAACAATTCTCTTCACAAGCTGCCAATAATAAAAAAGAAAAAAAAAAAGAAGAGGGAGTGTGCAGTCGGCTAAGAGAAGAAAAATGTGAAAATAAAGTTTTTGTTATTTTTCATGGAAATTGCTTGAAAAATAAAAAATACAAAGTATAAATTAAAAAGAATATTAAGTAATTAAAGAGAGGGTCTGATACATTAAAAAGACTATAAAAAATTATTTTTCATGAATTGTATTTAACTAATAGAAGAAGGAAAAATAACATGTTGAATTAGATGTAAAGAAATTGAAAAAAGTTTTATAGTGATATAACATTCTTGTATATTGTGATAAATTAAAAATTCAAGTAAATGTAGCATTATATAAATTATTTGTAGAATTATTAAAGAATATAAAATTATATTAAAATAATTATAAAAATTTCAAATATTAAAATTATATCGATCGAAAATCTTACTAAACCTTTTATCACCAATAACATGCAAGGAAAAAAAAGAGAGACCACCAGCTAAAAAACACGAAACAAATAAAAAAAAATGATGTAATAAAAAAAAGCTTTGAAGACTAAAAAAGCAACAAGCAACAATGAAATCTACAGTGCTCGGCAAGGAGTTGCACAGTACAAGACTGAACATCAAAACACCTAGTAGTTTTAGTTAGTCTTTTTTTTTGGTTAATTGTTAATTATTATAATATAATGTAATATGCATGATGTACGCTTTTTTGTTTTTTCCTCGCCAGGAAGGGGGTCAAGGCCCAGAAAAGGGGTCAAGGCCCAGAAAACACAAGAAGACACTAATTAGTAATCACATCGTATTTCATGTCCTATGCCTTTGTAGCCTGGAGTGTCTTGCGCCGACACAATTGTACATCAACAGCACGATGACGTTTTATAACTCAGTGCACTGGGTAATTTGTTAGTACTCGTACACTTGTCAATTTGTACTTGCTTGTTTAATCACTATCAAGTCTTTTCTTTTTCCTTGTCTGTTTTTCCTTATTCGCATGAGAATCCTCCCATACGGCGAAAAAGGCTTGAGGTGTATTTTTTTATTTAAA